TTTTTTTTTTTTTTTTTTTTTTTTTTTTTTTTTTTTTTTTTTTTTTTTTTTTTTTTTTTTTTTTTTTTTTTGAGTTAGAGTGTTATTGGTATGTTTATATGACTTTTATCTATACGCTTCGAAATTGCGGACAGTTCGTGAATTTAACGCAGTTCAATTAATGAAAGTATATAATCTAACAACATTTTTATAGACATTTTACGAATTTCAATGTAACTTCTAAAATGTAATCTAACAACATTTTTTTTTAATGAAAAATTAAGAATATCAACGTAGTTCAATTGGTTATAATATATATTATTATCTAAGAATATAGATGTTCGGATACTCTCGTCTCACATGGGATAACTTTTTAAAAAAAATTTAAATTGAAATATATTATTAATAACCCAAATAAAGTTTTTTTTTTAGGATTTAATTAATAAATAATATAAGTTTGATTCTTCATTATTAGTCTGTAATGTTATGGATAATCCATATTTCATAACTTTCCCTAATTTTTTTTTTCTTTATTTTTTGTTTTATATTTATTATATTAGACATATTTTTTTCAAAAATTTTAAAAATCGTAAAAATAAAATTATGAGCTGTGATTAATTCAATTTTATAGATATTAAATTTTTAAGTGTTATTGGATAAAAAAAATAGAAACAAAAATAAAACCCTATTTCTTCGTTTAGGCGGCGTAAACCGTTGGGGAATTCCCTCCGCCGCGGGTGCCGTTCTGTAGAAATGAACGGAGAAGCTGAGCAAAAACCAGAGGCTCGGCGACTCCGAGAACTGGCTGAGACGAAGTTCAGAGATTCCAATCTCAAATCTGCTCTCAAATACGCCAAACGAGCCCACCGCCTCGATCCAAACCTCGACGGCGCCGCTGAAATCCTCACCTCCCTTCAGATTCTCCGACTCGCCGCCGGCTCTCCAGATGAATGGTACGGGATTCTTCAGGTGGAGCCCTTCGCTCACATCAACACAATAAAAAAACAGTACAGGAAGCTGGCTCTGCTTCTGCATCCCGATAAGAATCCCTATGCCGGTTCCGAGGAGGCGTTCAAGCTCGTCAACGAGGCGTTTCGCTTTCTGTCCGACAAGGTTAGAAGGAAGGAGTACGATTTGAAGCTCCGGATACGGATTCAGGACGAGAAGATTGGAGATGCAGATGCGGAGGTTGCTACGGAGAGCGAAACGTTTTGGACTGCTTGCTCGACTTGCCAATTGTTGCACCAGTTTGAGAAAAGGTACGTAGGCTATAACTTGGTGTGTCCTAGTTGTAGAAAGAGCTTTAAGGCCGTTGAGGTCGTGCATAATGAACCTGAAATTGTGGAAAATGGACACATGGTTAGGGGTAGAAGGTTGAGGAATTTGAGTTCTAGGCAAAATTCTGGTAGTTTTCAGGGATTAGAACCACCTAGCTCGAGAAAAAAAATGAGTACCACTCAATCGAAGAGAAATTCTTCAGTGAAGAAAACTAGCGGTGAGAAGGAGAAGGGTATGGAAATGAATGGAAAAGCTGTTTCTGTAGAAGATGAACTTAGAAATGGAGACTTGGAGGAAGAACATGATAGTGATGATGAGATATGGAGTAGAAGAAGATTAAGAAGTGGGAGTATGAGGAAGAAGATGAGTAGTGTTGATGAGGTTTTGGAGAGGTCGAAGTTGAAGCCTGTAAAAATGGAGGAAGAAATGATGACTTTGGCTGAATTACAGTCTCAGGTGATTCGGAAAGCTCGAAAAGAGAAGATGAAACTGAAGTTAAAGGAGGAGGAGGAAGCAGAGGAAAGAGAGAATAAGAGGAAGAAGGGCGTTGAGGATGGCGACGACAACGACGATGACGAGAGACTAACCTTGAAAGAGATGGAGGGTCTACTACGGATTCGTCAGCAAGAAGCATCGAAGAGGGCCGGGTTCCCGAGAAACGAAAAACAAAGGAACTTGAAGAGGGATGTGAATCTGGAAATTAAGAAGCAAGGATCTTCTTGTGATTTGGATATGATGGTGGAAGATTCAGATTTTTATGATTTTGACAAGGATAGAATGGAGAGAAGTTTGAAGAAAGGGCAAGTTTGGGCTATATACGACGACGACGATGGAATGCCGAGGCATTACGGGTTGATCGAAGCAGTTACTGTAAACCCATTTGAGGTGAAAATGAGTTGGTTGGATGTTCAAAACAATGGGGAAGAAAGGCTACTTTCTTGGGAGAAATTGGGATTTCATGTTTCTTGTGGTAGATTTAAGGTCTCTAAGAAAACAACCATTGATTCATTGAACATTTTTTCTCATGTTGTGGATTGTGAAAGAGCAGCAAAGGAAGTCTACAGGATTTATCCCAAAAAGGGTTCAGTTTGGGCACTTTACAAAGAACAAGAAGCTCTGGATGCTGAGAAGAAACGAAACGTTTCGAGTACAAAGAAGCGAACTTACGACATCGCGGTGTTTCTAACAACTTATAGTGAGATGCACGGTTTAAGTATGGCTTATCTCGAGAAAGTTGATGGATACAAGACGATATTCAAGAGAAGGGAGATTGGTTATCATGCTATTAGATGGTTCGGGAAGGACGATATTCAGTTATTTTCGCATCAAATTCCCGCTCGGAAGCTTTCTGTAGATGAGGAACTTGGGCATCTGAAGGACTGTTGGGAGCTTGATCCAGCATCTCTTCCTTCAGATTTGGTAACCACCTGCAAGAGCAGATAGCATCTGAGTGCAAAACTCCCTTGCTGTTCGTCGACGGTATTCGGGCGATCTAATTATCGGGTATGTACTTGCTAACCATGTAGGTTGAATCAAATAATGCATTATGATTTGTAGCATAGCATAAGAGAGGCATTGTAGTGTATAGATCAAGGCACAATATCTTCTAGCCATAACCATACTCTTCATAAATCTAATATTGTTCGCCTAAGTATTTATGGGTCTCTCTCTCTCTCTCAGAATTTATGCCATGATTCTTAAGACAGGATTTGAATTGAGAAGGAAGAAGAAGAAACTTTGTGCCACTATGAGTTTAGTTTTCTATCAAATTAAAAAAAAAAAATCTAATAGATTGGTTATTTTTTAATTGTTTCATTCACGAGGAGGTTGATGAGAAAAAACTCTCATATTTGGGAAAAAGTGTGAGATCTCAGGTTGGTTGGAAAGGGGAACGAAACATTCCTTATAAGGGCGTGGAAATATCTCCCTAATAGACGTATTTTAAAATCTTGAGGGGAAGTCCTTAAGAGATATATTTTAAAACCTTGAGGTGAAGTCCCTAAGAGGCGTTTAAAACCTTGAGGCGAAGTCCCTAAGAGAGTGTTTTAAAACCTTGAGGCGAAGTTCAAAGAAGACAATATCTGCTATCGGTGGTATTGAGTTGTTACAAATGGTATTAGAGGGCCAGACACCGTTGTTTTTCCTGAGGGAAATCCTTTTCTGGTGAGAGAGGAAATCGTTTGACTGGAAGAGAGGGAGGAAATCGTTTGACTGGAAGAGAGGGAGGAAATCGTTTGACTGGAAGAGAGAGGAAAGTATTTCTAAAAAGAGGAAATCGTTTGACTGGGAGAGAGAGGAAAGTATCTCTAAAAAGAGGAAATCGTTTGACTGGAAGAATTTCTAAAAAGAGGAAATCGTTTGACTGGAAGAGGGAGGAAATCGTTTGACTGGAAGAGAGAGGAAAGTATTTCTAAAAAGAGGTGATTTTTCCTTGTTAATAGATTCACCTTATTTAAATAATTAACTATAAGAGTGACAAACTAGATCTGTGTCATTTCTTTCTAAATCTTGTCATTTCTTTTGAAATGCTACAAAATTGGCAATCTATTTCTTTCTAAATCTTGTCATTTCTTTTGAAATGCTACAAAATTGGCAATTTAATCAAACGTGTAAACCTAAATCAGGAAACCAAGAAAATCAGGAAACCAAGAAATGGCCGCCTACAAAATTGGCAATCCATTGCACCTGTTTGTCATTCATTGCACGTGTTTGTCAAATGTCAAATGGTCAAATGAATCAAAGGAAAATATGTAATCAAACCTGTAAACCTAAATCAGGAAATCAACATGCTTTTATCTAACAGACACCAGGCAGGCTAGAGGGCTTTTATCTAACAGACACCAGGCAGGCTAGACACAAGACAGTGTGGAGAATATTTAATCAAACGTGTAAACTTAAATCAGGAAACCAACATCAAGCAGGCTAGACACAAGACAGTGTGAATATTTAATCAAATGTGTAAACTTAAATCAGGAAACCAACAGGCTTTTTAGCCCAGACACCAAACAGTGTGGTATTGAGTTGTTACAAATGGTATCAAGGCCAGACACCGGGCGGTGTGCTAATGAGGATGTTGGGCTCCCAAAGAGGGTGGATTGTGAGAACCCACATTGGTTGGAGGGAAGAACAAAACATTCTTTATAAGAGTGTGAAAGCTAGAACAAAACATTCTTTATAAGAGTGTGAAAGCTTGGAGGACGTTGGGCTCCCTCAAAGAGGATGGACTGTAAGATCCCACACTGAACATTCTGTATAAGAATGTAAAACCTCTTTAAACCCAAAGAAAAAAAGATAATATCTACTAAGGCAGTCGTTGAATTTGATTCAAAATTGTAATATTTTGTTAACAAATATGAAATTAACGGTAGAAATGGATGAGAAAACAAACCAACAATATTTTTTAAAAATAAAAAATCAAATAATTACAAAACAAAATCCAAATAAATCAATTTTTTAGGATAAAATAATTGATATAACCATTTACTTAGCAGAATTACAGTTCCCCAATTCCCACTTCTAATTTTGTTACTTTTCAAATCATTCCAACTGATAATAAAAATACATTTAAAAGAACTTCAAAAGGCTACACAAAATACCATATCCTTCCAAAGCACTTCCAAGCATAGTTTCTTAAGTTCTACTTGAAGGCTCTTTACTTATTGGTTACATTACTACACTGAAATGCTGCACCAAAACTTTGGCAAGAAGAACTCTTCACAATCCCAGTTTGAATAGGCAGGGAAACTACAGATGAGTATCATTTAGAAGAAGATTGAACTGGAAAATTCACATTGAGGCCGTTCCATATTGGAGTCATACAGAGAATTTGATGCCTTCATCGTCTGTTGAAGAACCCTTGAAAATTGCAAGCTTTCCCTTCTGTTCAAGTTGCTTCAATGCTCTCATTAAAATCGTACGGTCAATCCCTTGAAGCTCTGAAAAATAAACGTATTTGGTTTGCACAAATAAGGCTTGAATGTGATCAAAGGATGTAACCATTTAGTAATGCAAGTATCAAAAGCATACTCCTATTTGATTCATGAATTTTGTGTAAAAGATTATTTGTCTTTACTATGATGAAACATTTTAGAGCATTTAACAAAACTCTTACATGACTTGCATGAGTAAGTTCATGTTTCAAGTCTCGTCCACTTCATTTGGCATCAAATTTGTTAAATATAATCTACAGGACCAAAGAAATCAAAGTAGACATTTACAAATATAAGAAAAGTTTCTTGGCCGTGGTGGCTTCCAGAATGAAAGAAAACCAGATATTCCTTTACATGAAAGCGAAAACTAGTACAACTCGGAACCTTTTAACTCTATTTCTCCTACCTTCCTTCTTACTCAAACGATGATTTCTTGACTCTCATCTACGAAAGTAATTTGTTTGCCCAGAAAAAGAAGATTTAAGTGATTTGAGTGAGTTTTTCTTTTATTTTCTTCTATTAAATTTCTATCTTCAATACTTTTTTCTTCTTTTCTTAATATGAATGTAAGGAGAAATTATCTATATTAATGGCTCACGTATATTCTCGCTATCTTAAGCTATCTTAAGTTGACAGGTTTAAAAGTTTACCAATAAAATGAGACTTAAAGGCTAATTATTCATAAGAGTTTTGCCAGAGTTACATTTCCCCTTGAGACAAATTTCTTGGATTTATTAAGCACCAAGATGTTTTCCATCAAAATAGCACATAATGGATAACCAACTAGAGTTGCTTTAAAACCAATATCAATGTAGCAAATGAAAAATAGATTTAGAAATCATTGGAAGATCTAAATCGCCTCAGTAGAAGCAAGGGAAGTACCTGTTCCTCTAGATTCAACTCCTGAACGTATTTCCTCAACTGTCATAACACTATCTTCAAGTCCATTGTTTTTCACCTATTTAATAAGGCAATTGCATAAGAATCTTTCAAAGCACCCCCTGGATTAGAGTTTGTTTGGAATGATTTTCCAAGTGATTAAACAAGGGATTTTAAGTGTTACAAAAATGTTCATATTACTTGAAAAATCTTTCCAAACAGGCTCAATTTGAGAATGTTGTAGTTCTTTAAAATAATTGTTTTAACTTTTTTTTAAAAAAAATCAGTTGTAATATAAAGTAAATAAGTGTGGAAATGTGGGAAAAGATGGGTAAAAAGGATTTTCAAGAGTTGGTCAGTAGAGGCATCAAACTCTTTGAGAATTCAAATGATACGCTTCACAACATTTTACAAACCAACACAACTGAAAAGGTTTAACCTAATTTTAATCAGTCAACATTAGAGAAAGTTAAAAATTTTATTACCCTTCCAAAAATCATTCCAAACTCACCCTAAACCAATCAAGTTTAACATAACTATTGACAGTTAACAAAGTATTTAGTCTTACAAAGTGCAAAATGATGTCAGCCCAATCTTGAATCCGGTGCCACAAAATAAGACATTTCCTATGTCCCTTATCCAGCCATTCTGCACGACCTATATTGGACAATTAAAGTAACAATTATCAGTTTTGGGAATAAATGGAAACTGTAAACAAATATAATGATAGAACAAAACTAGCACGGACTAACCATCTGAAACTAAGGCAGAGAGAAAAGCTACTCTAGCTTCATGACTGAGAGATCCTGTAGCATCACAACCACACTGTAAAATACATCAAACAACTGGAATAATAGAACATAGATCCATGACTGAGAGTTCTAAACACCAAACCCAATGTACTATGCTCCATAGAATGAAAAGGTTGCATATAATGAAGCCAATATCTTAATGTTTTTTACACTGTTCATGATGCTACTGTGAATGACTTTATTAGCGTTGATGTTAATGCATGTACCAAAAGTCCTAACGGTCAATGAGGACCAAACAAGTTCAGGAATTTACTCTCAATGACAGAATTTGAAAATAGAGGAAATTCCTCTTCGAGTCCAATGACAAATATCTTTTGTGTTCGGCAGTAGTCGAGAATAAGTTCCTTCCAAAGTTGGATTTGCTTCTCACGGGTGTCCTTCACCGGTTGCAAACTGATAAGACATGCAATACAAGATTATAAATGTAACTTAAGCTTCGTAACTTAAGACAAAAGACAAGCTTGACATAAAGTGAAACAATCAAAGTTATCAATAACAATTTCAGAATCGCAGCAAGGTAGAATTATCACATTCATTTTTTTATGAAAAAAAACTATCAGATTCATTCTTATGAGGCAAACGGGGAAACATAAGTGATCCAGAACCCTGTTAACTACTGGCTGAGCAATGAAGTGTTGGTTTTATTCACTCAGGAAAAAGAAGTCAAAACAAAGAGCTTAACATCATCAGAAATTGACTCGCAACTTCCAAGTTACTTGGTTTAGCAAATAAACATGTAAAAAACCATGGTAACTGAAACAGGAAAAGAAAATTACGTGAAGTATGGAGGGTAATTGAAGAAATGTGGTAGCTTGAAATCTCCCAATTTCTGCATTTTCTCTATTGCGCTCTCTGAAAATGAGTCCTATGGATGCATTTCTCTCTATAACTGAGAAATTTCAGATGGGAGGGAAGAAACTTAGCACCAACATCAATAAAATATAGAGATAAATTAACGCAGAGATTCATAAACATATCAGACCTAACCACTTTCCATTGATGCATAACTATTTTGGAGGTGTTAATGATTCTATGAGACTAGAA